GGCAGGCTTTATGCAAATGAAGCCCGGGAAATTCAAATCCCGGGCTTCATTTGCAACTCCGTATGACTACATTACCCCCCCCCCAGTTCAAACTAGGGGGGTAGAGTAGACATACCATTGGTGTCCTTTAGTCCTTCTATTATGGGAACTAATGAAGAAATTTTCTTTATGCACCCTCTCCACACCACTCATGCTTTTATAGACCTCTATCATATCACCCCCTCAGTCTCCTCTTTTCTAAGATGAGAAGACCCAGTCTCTTTAGCCTCTCTTCATAAGGGACTTGTTCCAAACCCCTGATCATTTTAGTTGCCCTCCCCTCTCCCACCTCCTTTTCCCAGTCTCCCCAAGTTTTGTTCAATAAAGAGAGTTTCTATTTTTGAACACACGTGTCCTTTATTTTGTACATCAGGAAGGCCTCTCTCTTCCCCTCTCCCACCTCCTTTTCCCAGTCTCCCCAAGTTTTGTTCAATAAAGAGAGTTTCTATTTTTGAACACACGTGTCCTTTATTTTGTACATCAGGAAGGGGGGCTAGGGAGAGGTAAGTGGAAGGAGGTGAGGGAGGAATGGGGTACAAGCTGCCGATGGGGAGGACTGGGCTGGCTTTGCGGGCTCCTTGGGGTGGAAACTCTCCTGAAGCCCCTTGATTGACCCCCCCTCCGGATGTCAGCCTGCGGCAAGTGCAGCCTGTCTGATGGATGAGTGCTGTGATGTGCCGAGTGTGGGCACTCAGGGCACTCCAAGCCAGGACTGCTTTGCAAGTGGGGAACCCCTGAGAACTGTCTGTCCGGGGTGGGTATCGGGTCCCTTTAAGCACAGCCCTCGGCTAGCCTGGGGTAGCAGCTCCACGCTCTAAGTCCTAATCTGATGCCCTGCCGGCACTGCTTCCAGCCATCCTTAACCCCGGTTCAGGGTCCACTCAGTGTGGACATGCTAGTTCGAATTAGCAAAATTCTAATTCGAACTAGTTTTTAAGTCTAGATGCGCTAATTCGAATTAGTGCTGTAGTGTAGACATACCCTAGGTTAGGCTAAAAGTGATAAAAAACAAGGGTGCAGTCATGCTAGGGGTCTACTACAGGCCACCTACCCAGGCAGAAGAGGTAGACGAGGCTTTTTTCAACAACTAACAAAATCATCCAAAGCATGGGATTTGGTGGTGATGGGGGACTTCAACTATCCAGACATATGTTGGGAAACTAACACAGCGGGGCACAGACTATCCAATAAGTTCTTGGACTGCATAGAAGACAGCTTTTTTATTTCAGGAGGTTGAAAAAACTGCCGGGGGAAGCTGTTCTAGATTTGATTTTGAAAATAGGGGGGAACTGGTTGAGAATTTGAAACTGGAAGGCAGCTTGGGTGAAAGTGATCATGAAATCATAGAGTTTGTGATTGTAAGCTATGGTAGAAGGGAGAACAGCAAATTAGAGACAATGGATTTCAGGATGGCAGATTTTGGTAAGCTCGGAGAGCTGGTAGGTAAGGTCCCATGGGAGGCAAGACTGAGGGGGAAAACAACTGCAGCGAGTGGGCAGTTTTTCAAAGGGACATTATTAAGGGCCCAAAAAACAAGCTATTCCACTGTGCAGGAAAGAAAATATGGTAAAAGACCGCCTTGGCTTAACCATGAGATCTTAAAAATAAAATGGAGTCATATAAAAAATGGAAACTAGGACAAATTACAAACACTTGGAAGATAATAAGGTGATAAGGAACAGCCAGCATGGATTTGTAAAAAACAAATCATATCAAACAAATCTGACAGCTTTCTTTGATAGGATAACTAGTCTTGTGTATAGGGGAGAGGAGGTGGACGTGGTATACCTAGATTTTAGTAAGGCATTTGATACGGTCTTGCATGATATTCTTATCAATAAACTAGGCAAATACAACTTAAGAGGGGCTACTATAAGGTGGGTGCATAACTGGCTGGATAACCATTCTCAGAGAGTAGTTATTAATGGTTCACAATCCTGCTGTAAAGGTATAACAAGTGGTGTTCTGCAGCGGTCTGTTTTGGGACCAATCCTGTTCAATATCTTTATCAATGATTTAAATATCAGCATAGAAACTACGTTTGCAGATGATACCAAGTTTGGAGGGGTTGCAGCTGCTTTGGAGGATAGGGTCATAATTCAAAATGAGCTGGACAAATTGTAGAAATGGTCTGAGGTAAGCAGGATGAAGTTTAAGAAGGACAAATACAAAGTGCTCCACTTAGGAAGGAACAATCAGTTTCACACACACAGAATGGGAAGCAACTGTCTAGGAAGGAGTACGGCAGAAAGGGATCTAGGGGTTATAGTGGACCACAAGCTAAATATGAGGCAACAATGTGATGCTGTTGCAAAAAAAAGCAAACATGATTCTAGGATTCATTAACAGGTATGTTGTGAGCAAGACACAAGAAGTCATTCTTCCGTTCTTCTTTGCACTGATTAGTCCTCAGTTGGCGCATTGTGTCCAGTTCTGGGCACCACATTTCAAGAAAAATGTGGAGAAATTGGAGAAGGTCCAGAGATGAGAATAAGAATGATTAAAGGTCTAGAGAACATGAGCTATGAAGGAAGACTGTAAGAATTGGGGTTGTATCGTTTGAGCGGGGATTGAGCGGGGACATGATAGTTGTTTTCAGGTATCTAAAAGGGTGTCACAAGGAAGAGGGAGAAAACTTGTTCTTCCTGGCCTCTGAGGATAGAACAGGAAGCAATGGGCTTAAACTGTTGGACATTAGGAAAAAATTCCTAACTGTCAGGGTGGTTAAACACTGGAATAAATTGCTCAGGGAGGTTGTGGAATCCCCATCTCTGGAGATATTGAATAGCAGGTTAGATAAATGTCTATCAGGGATGGGCTAGACAGAACTGGGTCCTGCCATGAGGGTAGGGGACTGGACTCGATGACCTCTCGAGATCCCTTCCAGTCGTCGTATTCTATGAAGGCCCGTCTGTGGGTATCTCCAGGCCTCTGACTGAGGGGTTAGCTACCAGAGGACTGCAGTTTGTTTTTCTCTCTTCTTTTTTCAAGCTTTTTTGGGGCAAAAGAGCTTGGGGTACCTCTGGGGAGGATTTCAAATGCTTTCCCGTGGTATTCAGAGATCAAAAAGCACTTGACGGTGGCAGAGATTCCCCAAAATCTGTATTATGATTCTGGGGGAAGTGTTTTGTAACCAGTGCCTGTAGAAGCAAGGTTTTGACACTCTCTTGTGGCCCTCACCTTCTGCGCTTGGAGTGCCAGAGAGGGGAACAGCCCTGACAGGGTAAAAAGGAAAAAAAAAGAGCCTTTTTTCCTTCTTCCCCCATCCGCTATTTAGTCAGATCAAAGTAAGTTCCTAAATTAAAATGCATAAAAAATGCTTAGCTAGTTCTAATCCACTAAGAAACTCCTTACATGAAAATTCTTATCCTAAGCCACTGTGCTTATTTCAGGTAAAATCTTCAAATCAGAGTTGATCTTTTATTTTGGCCTGGGTCTACAATGTCTTCAAATTTGGTGACACATTTGAGCTTACAGGACAAGCAAGACTATTCACAGGTTGCTGAGTTTTTCAGCAAGACATTAGGTTTTGTGGGCATCACTTATGGCTCTAATTCACAAATGTAGAAGTATAAGCAGATCCACACTTCATATTTCTAATTTCACATACAAGAATGATACATGCACCAAAATAGGACATGCACATTCAGCACCTGTAATGTTACAGTTGATAGGTTACATGAGTTATTATGTCTAATGCATCTTCTACTTATTCATATAGTCATATTCACAAGCTAAGTCTCATAAGGCATGGGAGGAGCCATCACAACATTCATGTTTTGTAAGTTTGCTCCCATTATACAGAAGTTTTCTGATGTCAAACACAGGCAGATTCAATCAGATTCTTGCCCTCTGCAAGAAATATCCTTCCTAGGAATCCTTTCTGGAGTGGGCTGTGTTTCTAGAGGGTTCTAAGTTTTTTGCAAGTATCAGTTGTGTTAGGCTGTGTAATTGTTTGGTTTCAACTCTTTAATCAAAGTTTATTTGTGTCTTGTTCCGTTATTTACATTTATTCAAACCCAACTAAAAAGAAACATTAAGAGGCAGCTATTTCCCAACAACCGCTATTAGGGCTACTGATGTCTTTTCAAAAAGAGAAAGAATCTCTTTTTTGGGTCTCTTCAACGTTGTACAACCAAAGCCACTGGCACCTTCATAAGAGACAGGGATATCTTCTGGGCATTTGCTCCACCTGGGCTCACCAGGTTCCCAATAATAAATTGTTTTATAACATTGAGTTAAATTTTCCCCACCCAACACATAGATCCTCTTTTTCCACGGGACCACAGCGGCGCTAGCAATTCCCTTTGGCAGTTTTGGAACAATCACCTCCTCATTCACTTTGCCATCCTCAGTGATAAAGAAACACTTCCTAGTGCAGTGACGGTTTTCGGGTATGAGACCACCCTCGATCCAGTCTCTGGTTCTCTTTTCAGTATAGCCCCCTATAACGTATAGCCCAGTGGTCATGGAAACTGCACCTGCTGAAAAGAACCCATTGTCAAGAGACACCTGAGTCCATGTGTTGGAGCTTATGTCATAGATCAGAAGCCCTCTATGAAATTGCCAAAAACCAGTCAGCCCTGTGGCTCCTCCTAGTAAGTATAGTTTCTTCTTGAGCACTGTGGAGGCAGAACGGCTCAGCACAAAAGGCATCCTGGAGATGGGAGTCCACACCTGTTCTGCTATGTCAAAGCATTCTGCAGAATTGAGAAATTCATGAAATCCACACCAGCCTCCCAAAGCATACAGCCGCTGATTACAGATTACAAATCCATGAGTAGCACGGGGCACCGACATCGAAGGAAGCTCTGTCCACTGGCCTTTAAAAGAGTTGAACTCATACAATGCATCTAAATGTGAATTCCTGCATATGCCTCCGGATACATAGAGCTTGTCTACGAGCGCCACGCAGGCTGGATGTGTCAAATGTTTCAAGCCTGGAAACGTTTCCCACTTTTCTACATGGGGATCATAACAGCCCATCAGAAAATCATTCTCCAACTCTTGGTCCTCCCACATCTGTGAATCTACACATGCTATCAGTTCATCATACATGCCCTCTCTGAATCCCCCACTCTCATGCAACCTCTCTTCACTGTCAAGCTTCTTCCAGTGAAGCTGAACATCTCCAAGTCGTTCTGAATCCAACTGCACCTCCACAAGCTCTCTGTCTGTCAGGAGGGGAAGCCGGACATGCCTCATCAACTCATTGATGAGGGAGTGGCCTGTGGTGGGTTGAAACCGTAACCAGCGTCGCACAGCCTTGTAGACTTCTAACTCAGAAGCAACTCCAAGACCATTTGAAGACAGGATAGTGATTAAAGTGCTGAGGTCCAGACTCAGAAAGTCGTCATCTTCACAGAACCTTCCAAAGTTTAGGATGATGACCCGCACGGTGGCGTGAAGCATAGCTTGGTGGTTGTAAGCCTGAGCGAGTCTGTAAAGCCCAATGCAATTCTGCATAGAAATCTTCTTCAGAAGAAACCTGGGAGAAACAAAGGAAATAAACTGATCACTTGCGATGCATTAGTGGGTGTCACAATCCCATGACAGGTCCTCAGAAGGGTTTAACACCCATAGACAGATGCACCAAAGAACAGACCTCTACCACTTGAATTTAAAGAAGAGGATAGATGGACCAATTGCTGAAGTTCTCCAGTCATGACACAAGGACATGAAGTTACAGAGAATTCACAGTTTAAATCTACAAGTTACCAATCCACCATGCCGCAAAGGAAGGTGAAAACACCAGGATGTCTGCCAGTCTGACCCAGAGGAAAAAATCCTTCGCAACCCCAGAGATAGTGATCAGTTAGGCCCTGAGCATGACTATCAGTAACAGGTGTTACCCTCTATGTAAGCTAGTCGCTTGAGGGGGGCCACAGGACAACAATTTACAAGCAAATGATACAAGAAAAACTTCTCCAGAGTTTGACATCCCAATGTTAGGGTAGCAGCCTCGCTTTTATGGCTATTCAGTCGTAACTGTGGAGTGAATGGATTACAGGCAAAATGTTCCAGCTCAAAAGTACAAACATGCACAGACCCCCTCAAAAAACCTCCTCTCATCAAACCTCTGCCTCAGCTAGATCTCATTTGGGAGGTGCCTGGGGTGTCTTCATGGTGTATTCAACTCTTGCCTGCTAAGATTGCATCCATTTTTAAGACCAGAAAGGGTAAGTGTGATTACCTGTGCCGGGTGTCCCAAGATGTCCCAAAGGACCATCGGCAAGCCCCTCACTTATTCACAGTGTCAGCTTCACTTTATAAAAAAGTAGATGTTTTGATTACAAAGACAAATTTAAAAACATGACCCAGGCAGGTGGGAACCACCACTGGCTGTTAATTATTGTGCCAGTAATGCTACTGTACTGTCAGTATCGTTACTGACTTTCCTGCTCATGAAAGCATTTAAGAAAGGAGAAAAATCAGATGATGAAGATCTGCACAATCTGTCCCAAAAAACTGCTCATTAGGATGTCATACATGACACCGGGGAGCAGGGACAAGGCAACGAATAACCTTTTACACATTTTCAAATACAATTTTATTTCATTTCATTAAAATTCCTACCTAGGTCTGAGATGCAGTGAGGTGTGATGGTTTCAGTATCCCACAGTGGACAGGTGGGATCTAGTTTTCCAACATGTCTATGTTACTGGGAACATCAACACTGCAGCCATTGTGAGGAGTAAGAGGAGTTGATGCAAGCACTTCTCCCAGCGATCTCCGGCAGTGAGGCTGGTCCCTGAGCTCAACTTAAGGTACATTGACTACAGTTATGTTATTTACATCACTGGAATTCCCTCATAGTTGTAGGCCTGCCCTAAGGCCCCATCTCTACTCGCTTGAAGGCTGAAGCTGCAGTGGTTGATCTTCTGGCATTCAATTTAGTTAAAGACGATCAACTGGTTATCTAAGGTGTTTGTACACAAATGTGAGAAGCCTGGGAAACAAACAGGAAGAATTAGAAGCCCTGAGCCATCAAAGAACGATGATTTGATTGGAATAATGGAGACTTGGTGGGATGACTCGCATGACTAGAGCGCTGTCATGGAACGGTATAGACTGTTCAGGAAGAACAGGCAGGGGAGTAAAGGAGGAGGAATTGCATTGTATGTCAGAGAGCAGTATGATTGCTCGGAGCTCCAGTATTTAGAGGGAGAAAAGCCTGTTGAGAGTCTATGGGTTAAGTTTAGAGGTGGAAGCAACGGGGCTGATATTGTGGTTGGTGACTGCTACACACCACCAGATCACGTGGATGAGGTAGAAGAGGCTTTCTTTGGACAACTGAGAGAAGCTACCAGGTCGCAGACCCTGGTTCTCATGGGGGACTTTAATCACCCTGGCTGTGTCTACTCTAGGGCTACGTCTACATTGGCCCCTTTTCCGAAATGGGCATGCTAATTTCACAGGTCGTAATAGGGAAATCCGCGGGGGATTTAAATATCCCCCGCGGCATTTAAATAGAAATGTCCGCCGCTTTTTTACGGCTTTTAGAAAAGCTCCCCTTGACTCAGGCCGGCCGTGGCGAGGCCCCACATGAGCTGGCTTCCCTCTGTCCACTCGCCGCCCCGCTCCAGGGCGACTGGCACAGGCCTGTCCTCGGGGGTCACACCC